TTTTTTTTTCTGTGAATTAAAGTATTTTCTTTTATAGACTTATAGGAGAAGTTAATAATCATGATGTTTTAATAAAAAACGGATCAATGAAAACATTATTAATGCAGGTCCGAAAATTAAAAGAAGAAAAGCTAAAAGTGTTGAAAGAAAAAGAAATATTGGAACGACAAAATGAACAATTGAGTATGGAAGTCAAAAAGTTGCATGCAAGAATAACAGAAATAATCAAAATGACAATGGACAGGAAGAAACAAGCCAACACAATACCTATCGAAGTTTTAAGGAAAGTATTTACACCAGATCAAATTGCAAAGTTAATGTCGACTAAGAGCCGCATATGATGGTTATCCGAAGATATAGAATCTGCAATATATCATGCAATAAGATCATTAAGTCCTAAAGTTTACAAATACTTAAGAAAATGCCATTACCATCTTCAAACACTTTGCAAAATTGGATTGAAAACAATAATTTAAAAAATGAAATTAATGATGCATCACAATAGAAAGCATTATCATGTACATAAACATTTCATAGATTGTTTTATTGTTACCGTCTGGGTATAAAATTTAAGTACAATTCTCTTATTTCATTTTAAAAGTTTAAAAAGATTTAAAAGTTATTTAATCTTTTATTTTTTTTAATTTTTACATAAAATCACGTTTTGTAGTACTTATTTGCAAATTTTATGACAAAGTAATATCGTCAAAATTTTATATACATGTACTAATAAAATTCTAATAATAGAAACTATTCGTGCAAAGGATTTGTTTGGATCTACTTGTTTAAATTATTTACTTAAAATTGCTGCAGAATATGCAGAATTGCGGCAAAAAAATGCGCTGCATAAATCATTAAAAACCAAATAATTTGTTCTTTATTAATTGATTTTAGGACATTATGACAAAATTTCTTGACTGATATCTTTTTAATTGATATTTTTAGCTGGTATTGTACAACCACAACATTCTTAATTGTAATATGTACAATAATTATATATAAATTATAAAATTTTCTTTATATACAATCTATAAATATTTAAAATAAACCCGAAAGTGCATAATTTCATATCTGAAGACATTCCATAATGTATTGAAATTTTTTAGGAAATAAAAATAATGTATGAAATTGTTAAAATATTTTATTATAAATCAATGAATATATTATTTGTCGAAGATGTATTTTATATATGGATAACGTACATTCATTTAATATTATCTACAAAAATCCATAATTTGTCGTAAAATTAAAAAAATTATACTTTACATACAATACGTAACATACATACACAAGCACACACACACATATATACATATATATATATATATATATATA